CCTCCAGGGAAGCTGGACGTGCAAGATGAAGCAATTAACGAGCACGGCAGAATGTTAACGGGGGACGAGTGAATTGAAGATGCCAGATTCGGGGAGAGGTTCGTATTACATTGTAGTGATGAGGAGAGATTGGCTGGGGATGTAACAGTGATGGAGGAGCTGTTGTAGACCTGCTGCTGCGGCTGCATATGGCTGCTTAGCACCAGCCGCAGCACGAATGAGACCAACAAGAAGCACCCACAGCATTCATGGGCTTCATCAAGACAGAACCCATGGGTGTCGCACACTTTTGTTGTTGGGATACGCTAGGTTGGCCCAATGTGGTAAGGCCTGAAGACGCAGGGAAAGGCCCTCCTGCTTGTGGCCACACAGCAACATAGTTCACAGAACCGATCATGGACTGGGACGAGGGATCAAGCTGCGAAAAATTACCGATCACGGACTGGGACGAGGGATCAGGCTGCAAAAAATTATGAGCTTTTAAAGCATTTTTCGGGCAGCATGGTGGCTGAATCCGGGCTGTATGAAAAACTGGGAAATGACGATATTTGGGAGGAAGAAGAATATTAAAATTTCATAAAGGTAAATTTTAGGCTGTTTTTAAAGCATTAGCCAGGCTATCTAAAGTAAAATGAAATAATTCTCAAAATTTCACCAGCTGGAAAATGAAATAAAATGAACATTGCCAAACAGCTAAAGTTGTGACTAATATCAAAAACAAGTAGCCTGACTTACCGTAGAGCTTGCAGGAATGAAGAAGTCGTTGACCAGATACAGCATCATCCTTGGGTCCTGCACAGTGATGGGCTCCGGGCTCGGGAGAATGGCTTGCTCGCTGCAACAAACAATAGGTTATTCTACATATGCCATGCAAACATTTGGCCATATTGATCGTGTCAACAGAGGGAGCATCATATGGCCAAGTTAGTCTCATCATGTCAACAGAGGGAGCGTCATATGGCCATGTTAGTCTCATCGTGTCAACAGAGGGAGCGTCATATGGCCAGGTTAGTCTCATCATGTCAACAGAGGGAGCGTCATATGGCCATGTTAGTCTCATCGTGTCAACAGAGGGAGCGTCATATGGCCATGTTAGTCTCATCGTGTCAACAAAAGAAGCATCTCATATATTCATGCTAGGTCATCACCTAACTTGAGATGAACAACACGACCGTGTTAGTAAAATACCTAATAATAAATGATGCTACTGGAAGTCTCTGTGAACAGCCGACAGTTAAGGGGAGCGTCTCGCCTAAAATTTATCTCAGTAATTTACAGAGGGATCAATCTGAAATTTGGTACACATGTGTAAACCCTGAAATAAAACAGGTTTTATTCGTGTCAATTTTTCGAAAAAATTGAAAGAAAACGTGAAATTTTTAGAAAACGACCAAAAAGGGGTACTTTAGAAAACCTATCTCCTCCTAGGATTTTAAAGCTACAACATCAAGACACATATCATTCGATGCGTAAAGACCACATCTACAAAATTGTGTATNACTGCTGCAGCTCCTGTTGTTGCAGCTCGTATTTTAGCTGTTCAATCTGTTGTTGTTGCTGCTGCTCCAGTTGTTCTTTCAAGTTCAGCAGCTTGGACTCGTGTCTATTCTCTTGTCTACTCTCTAGGTCAAACAGTTGAGTCAGAAAACCCCTTTTCAGCGAGTATTCCATCTTTCGAATCTGTTGTTGCTGCGACTGTTGTAACTGCTGCAGCTCCTGTTGTTGCAGCTCTTGTTTTAGCTGCTTAATCTGTTGTTGTTCCTGCAACTCCTGTTGTTGTTTTTGTAACTGATGCAGCGCCCCATATTGTTTCAGCTGTTGTTCTATCTGTTGAATCTGTTGTTGTTGTTGTGCCTGCTGCTTTTGTTGTTGCAGCTGTTGTTGTTGCTGCTCTGTCTGTTGTTGTATCTGATGCAGCTGTTGTTGTTGCTGCTGCAGCTGTTTTATTATCTGCTGCAGCTGTGGCATCTGATGCAAAGAATCTGCCAAGACAGAGTATTTACTATACACCCACTACTGGGCAATTTTTTAAAACAAAAAAAAATTTTATAGGCATGTTTGTTTGATATTTATCACTATATATGCTCATAACAACACAGCCAAGACAGAAGTATACTGAGACAAAATAGCACAGTTGAATAGCAATGGAGTTTAGGTAGCACTGGACTTACCCATTATGGAGCCAAGTCAGGCAAGTAACAGCTTCTCTGCTGTTGGTGTAACACAGGTTCAGCCAGCTGTACTTATAGTACATTTACATGCACCCAACAAAGGCTTGTAATGAAAGACACTTCTGCAAATTTACTCACTTCAATCAGAATTCCAAAACTTTCCTACAAAGGAAAATAAAATATATTACAACTGAACTATATTTATAATTATTAATCTGGAAAGAGAAAAGCACAAGTGAATAAAGGTACACAATGTAAGCTACAGTTAAACAATTAATAATTAAAAATCAGGACCAGTAGAGCATCTTAAAGCATAGCAGCAAACAAGAGACTGTTTAGTTGCCCTCCATGCTCAAGTCCTATGAGTAGATTAGTTAAGCAATATGGATACAAGCATCATTAGTAGATATTCAATATACTATTGAATTAGTTTAGGTAATTAAAATGAACTGGTTTCTAAAAAAACTCTTATTTGCTAGTGTCCACAGTGTCTGGGTTCTGGAATATTCAGCATGATTTGCCAAAAATTACAGCATGAGATTTTGGAAAAAATGTCTGTTTTACTTTTTATGCACAAGAATTGAAATGGCAAAAATCACAAAATTTCTCAACATTGATATGCGTTCGAATGATTTGATAAACTGGATTCGCATTTGCACCACAATAAATAACTTGAAAAAGGATATTGCATAAATTATTTTTATCTAATATTAAAAGTTCTAAACAAGAAGAGGCAATTGAAAAGTGGCTCAATCTCGTCTGCATTAGGAGTTGTATCATAATGTATACTTTATGTATGGCTCAAATTTCCTCCAAGAGCCACTGACAATGATGTAATTTAAAAAAATTAGGGATTGATGCATTCTCATATTTTCATCATAATCTCTTGAAAAGTACATTAGTCCATTAATTTACCTTGTGTCTGACCATATATGAGTTTTGCAATATCGGTATTTATTTTAAAATTACTATATCTATTCAATATTCTAGGTTGCTGGGGGTGATCTTTGAGCAAGGTAAAAATATAATTTAGTACAATTTATATAAACGTGGTATAAAAAAACAATTAAAAATGTATTACTCTTGGCATGTGTTCAAATGTATAGGCTGGCTAAAATAGTCATGCAAGTGCACATCATTCAATGTTATAGTGATAACGGTGTAGTGGTTCTCAGTAAGCTTGCACAAATATGCAAGACTATCCCCCAAGTCCTTGGATAATGAAACAAATGATGAATGTGGTCAGAATGAGTCACTTTCAGGGAGGCATGAAACATGACAAATACTAAACAATTCACTCAAACAAAATTCAAAGTAACAGATACAAAATTAATTGAAAGGTTGTCCATCAAACACCAGCGGTGGTTCAAGTTCAGCCCAATCGGTAGTCTGAGTGCAATGCTCTAACAGGTGGACTACCTAGACCTCTAGGCATTGTGCAGCCAAGTAAATGAGCTAGTAGTAACAAAGTCATTAAATGCATCCAATATGGATAATGACAATGCTCAACTTTAGCTTTAGCCATAGATAGTTATGGCTCTGACAGCCATAAATGAATATAAACAATTCCTGAAGAGACTTCGGGAAACTAAGAATGGTTAAGAAATGTTTATTGGCAAGTAATTTTGGTAAGCAGAACTTGACCGCTGCTGGCAGATAGAAGATCAATACCGCTTGATTTGTTGACCAAGTCACTTACTTGCATATCACACCCTAGCACACCACATTTACTCCACATCACACTCTGCACTATCACTCTTACCTATGTCAAGGAGTATGCCAGAGGTATTGTACACATTATATCATTACCTGGGTTGTTGGGAGAGCCATTGTTTGCCAATAACACACTTGGGAAATCAAATGTTATGTGGCATGGAATAAGAACCAGAATAGGCACAGAAAACAGCAATGAATAAGCAAGTTAGGTCACAAAATATCTACATACTCAAGAGTAAGGAAATCAATCAAAGTGAAGTAACAAGAGAAAAGCCAAAAAAGTAAAATATTCAGGAAATAAATACACAAAAACAACTTGATTTCTCCAATCTCGTAAATAGCTGGTCAAACTAAAGATCCTACAACAACTGGTGAATAATATGTTTTAATATGCTTCCACCAACTGGTGTATGGGGTTTCCATGAGAAAGTTCAGAGGAGCAGAGAAGTCATCTCGCTGTACAAAGTCAAAGAAGTTGGTAGATATACAATTACTCCTAAGAATAGGTAAAAAATCATATTACCAATATTCAGCTTTTAAAGTCATATGAGAGGTTTATGGTCCTAGAATGTTTAGCAAGAAGACAACAATGCTTGAAGCATCCAGAAAAGGCCCAAAGGCTGATCAGTGTTCAAGTCAGCAAGCATCCAAGTCAATATTTGGCTGCTAGTTGGCAATGCTTTATTGCCCTTCTTGATGACCAGGAGTTGGTTGAGGGACTTAAGGCTCTCATCAAGAAGACTGTGGCTCCACACCAACCGCTCATAAATGTCAAATAAATGCGTTCATAAGAACAAGACCTCTAGATTTATTGATATTTGGTGGATGTATAAAACTGTTTATTCAACACAAGTCATGACTGCATGGGTTACAGGAGGTCAAGTTATTAAAGGGTGGACAAAACATGGTTTAAGCAAGCAGAAGGATAATTATAATAATAAAGGGCAAGACTAACATGAGAACAGGAAACAAACATCACGCATTATTTATAAAGAGGCATGAATTACTAGGAAACATTGTTCAAGAGCTCAGCAATGGTATAAAATAACACAATGGTGACATGGTAATGAAATAAAATGAACTGTCACATAAATAGAGCACATGGACAGGATAAGCAGGCAGAGATGCAAGGTTGCGTCAGGCAGTATTGCAATTCAAGCAGGCTTAGTCAAATCAGTGTAGGAAGCAGAAACCAATGAAATCCCATTAAATTAATCACAAGATTGGCAACCAAGTGCATGAAAGGCAAACTTGATAGATTCAGGCTTTATGTACTCTGATTACTTAAATATTTACACCAAGAGAAACAGGAAAGATGGATAATAAGATGCACAGGACACTTGAAGGCAAACAAAATAATACATGACAAAACAAGCACAAAGCTATAAGGCACAATAAATGATTAAAATTATGGTACATTGCTCAGGTATATTATATTGGAGAATAGCCCAAATTTCAATGTACCAAGATCAATGTTGTTTCAATATTGTAATAAGGTGGTTTTAAGTCTTTCTAAGTGTTGGTAATATTTTGACAATTCAATATTAAATTTTGATTGATAATTTCAAACTGAAACCTATCTATAATCAACATCGTTTCATCATTAGATGAATGCTGAATGGTGTGGTCTCCTCAGTGGTATGACATAGACATGACATATGGAACTGATTTGGTCTCCTCAGTGGTAAGATGTAGATGTGAAGTCAGAAACTGGTGTGGTCTCCTCAGTGGAACGATGTGGAAGTGATGTCAGGAACTGGTGAAGTCTCAGTTGTATGAGGGCGTCAAAAGGAACTGTTGAGGTCTTAGTGTTATGACGTTTCAGCTCTTGGCTACAAAAAATTGTGTGAATTTAATCAAGTGTTGAAGTTGAGTCAAGATCAGATGAGAACGATCAAAGTTAGACTTTAATTAAGTGGTGGAAGTTAAGTCAAGATCAGATAAGAATAAGTAAAGTTACAATTATATGATTAGAATGTTGAGTTGGCAAGGGACTATAAACATAAATATAAATATATATAAATACATCAAACATTAATTTATAAAAATACATCCAGGTATAATAGGACTTGGAATATGTCTAATGAGAAATTTCAACCTAAACATTTGGTCTTGGCCTTTCCTGAAGTTCTGTCAGGAGCATTGTGAGCCATTACCAATTTCTATGGTTTTACATTAACCAAAATCGTGCTCCAACTCCTAGCATCCAATTGGGTTGTAATGGATGCACTGCCTTGGATGTAATGGACCATAATGATTCCTGCCTTCTGGAACGTAGCCTTCAACACTTCTGGACAATCATATCTAGGCCGTGTGTTGAACCAGCCCTCGGTCGAACAGCCACTCGACAGAAGATGATAAATTTTGGAACAGAACTATGCTATTTGGAACCCAACCTGAGATGCGGTGAACGTAAAATTACATAATTTAACGATGCCCGGAAGTCATATTCGATCTATGGCCTGGTGGAGCACGGCAGGTTTTATGCAAGGCCGGAGGGGGACAAAGCCAAGTGGTTCACGGCTGGTTGGTGGATATCCAGAGATCCAAGGCGTTTGATTCAGGGCTTATTGTTGGACAAAATTGGTGGTGAATGGCTGCGCTCCCATCCAATTCTGCTGTGATTTCCCTCTTAGCACATAAGTTTATTTTTCCTTGTACCTGTGCCATGATTTGTTATGATTTCGTTGGTCATACAAATGTACATCAACAACGAAAATGCTAAATGATACTCCAACTGTAAAAGTTTGCCTTGAACTAAAATTTCTCAAATTTTACTCATGTGATGTTATTGTTATTGTCAAATGAAAAATAACAATGCTAAATTCCTACTAGTCATTTCAGAGTGGGATGGTTCTATGAATAAATTTTAATCAAGCTCCAAATTCTAGCATCTAGCATTCTGTAGCAAAATTCTTCAGGCTTTGTGAACATAATTTTATTAGGAGCACTAAATGTTCATTAGTATT